CTGTGCTCGGGGCCGTGCTCCCCGCGTGCCGCGCCGGGTGCCGGAGCTGTGCCGTGACTCATGCACACACCACTGCTCACTGCTCCGGCTGTAAATTTAGAAACCCTTGTGTGGAGCAATTTTGGAAGATGGTTCGATGCAGAAATACTTCTGCTGTTGTCAGATTTTATTTTTTTTCTCTGCTCCCCTTCCCCCTCCTCATCCCTTCTTCTCTCACTCCATTTTTGTGGTTTTTTTTTTTATTTCCCACTTCCTATGAATGAAAAAACCCTGAGAATATCTATTCAGACATGTACCTGACCTTGTGTGCTGCCAGGGAAGGGCAGGTAAAGCCAAAGGTCCTGGCAGCTCTKCGTCATTGGGGACAATGTGGCAGCCAACACCTGGGTCAGCACAGTGGGAAGGGACAAGGACCTCACGTAGCATTCCAGCTCCAGCTGGGGGTGCAGAGGGGATCCTGTGGCCTTACTCTGGGAGGGAGCATGTTCCTCTGCTCATGGAATTGTGAGTCCTGAGCTCTGGTCTTCTCAAGAATTTGGTCTCCTCTTGATGCCTAAATCTGGCTACCCTAAAATGGAAGCTAGAAAAAACCCAGGAGAATAAAAGCAATTCTATTTATTATTGCAGGGCCTTGAGGGCCATTGAGGGCAGGCCCAGCCCAGCCAGGGGCTGCACCCACAATGGACAATGGCTCAGGGGTTTTTCACCCTTTCTCACTTTTGTCCATTTGCACATCGGGCTGAATCCTCCAATTGCAGCTGCAGCCAATGCAGTCATTCACTCCAAGTTGGCTCCCCCAATTCTCTGTTGTTTCCATCTCTTGGGGCCTGGCCCAGGGAGGTGTCCTTGAGTTTGGGGCTGGAGAGGAATTGTTTTGTGTGGAAATGGGAGAGCAGGAGCTCAGCACTGTCTGTGGAGTCTGGAGGTAAACACTGAAGAATTCCAGGGTTACAGAGACAGGGAAATAGAGAAGCTGAAATCCCAAGGCATCACTCTGAGCACGAAACATCGGGTGAGAGCCACCCCGAGGTGACACCGGGGTGACCCTGGGTGCTGTCACTGTTCACAGGAGCTACAAGGTCCGGTTCAACAGCGTCTCCTCCTACTCAGACGCACGGAAATCCTCCGGTGATGGCCCCGAGCCCAGGGACAACTTTGAGAGCACGGGGCCCCTGGCGAATGTCAGGTAACGGGGACGGAGTGGCAGGGATGGGGTGGGAGCTGGGGCTGCGTGGGGCCGAGCACTGCCACCTCCCCTGGGCGATGTGCAGACTCCTCCAGGCTGCCGTGGGTGGTGATGGCACAGGAGGGGACAGGAGGGGACAGGAGGAGCCGTGCCAGTGTCCCTGCCAGCCGGGCAGCCGCAGCAGTGCCCGCTCCCCGCAGGTTCTCGGTGTTCGGGCTGGGCTCCCGCGCTTACCCCCATTTCTGCGCCTTCGCCCGCGCCGTGGACACGCTCCTGGAGGAGCTGGGCGGCGAGAGGATCCTCCGCATGGGAGAAGGGGACGAGCTCTGYGGCCAGGAGGAGTCCTTCAGGACCTGGGCCAAGAAGGTCTTCAAGGTAACCCGAGGCTGCCCTGGTGCTCCGGGGAGGAGCAGGGGGACAAGGACAGAGAGCGGGATCCAAATCCATCCTCCCCTTCCCCACACTCTGGCACCACCCCAGAGGTTCTCTGCATTTTGGTGGGGCCCTGGTTCATGCACCAAAATGTCACCGACATGCTGAACTCCTGTGTTATCCCAGATATCTGGGAAGGAGAGCACCACGAGACGCACCCGTGGCCCCTGATACTGCCCTACAACTTTGSGGGCTCCTTGTCCACGTGGGTTGGGATAAGGGGGTCAGCCAGGGCCRGGGGGGTGCCTGAGGGCCTGGTGCGTGCTGCAGGCAGCGTGTGACGTGTTCTGCGTGGGGGACGACGTCAACATCGAGAAAGCCAACAACTCCCTGATCAGCAACGACCGCAGCTGGAAGAGGAGCAAGTTCCGCCTGACCTACGTGGCCGAGGCCCCAGAGCTCACGCAAGGTACGCCCATGGGGCAGATGGAGAAGTGACAGGGGCAGAGGGGCTAAATCCCCTTTTTTAAAAGCTCTGTCAAATTCCCAGCATTTCAGCCCTGCCTTTCCCCCCACCCCATGCCAACGGAGCTGTCTGTGGCTGTCCCAGGCTCCTTGGGCTGCTCCCACCTCCCTCTGACCAGTTCCAGCTTTTCTGGCCAGTCCCAGCCCTCTCTGGCCCACCCTAGGCCTCTCTGGCCAGTCCGAGCTGCCTCTGGCCGATCCCAGACCCTCTGACCAGCCTCAGGCTCCTCTGGCCAGTCCTGGCTCCCTCTGTCCAGTTCCAGACCCTCTGTCCAGTCCCAGCTCCCTCTGGCCAGTCCCAGCTCCTCTGGCCAGTCCCAGCTCCCTCTGGCCAGTCCCACTCCCTCTGGCCAGTCCCAGGCCCCTCTGGCCAGTCCCAGCTCCCTCTGGCCAGTCCCTGTCCATGTCCATAACGCAGATGTTTGACCACAATCTCCCCTCCCTCCTCCTGACCCCGTTTTTGAAGCTCTTTCCAAGCTCTCCTTGTCCGAAGCCGAGCGTTGTGGAATGAAGGCCGCTCTGGCCCATGCACTCCTGTCCCCTCAGCGTGGCTCCTGCGGCCCAGGATCTGCCACASCACCTCAGCTCTGCCCTGATCCTGCTCTCCCAAGCCTGTGGGCACCGGGAGGGCACAGCCTTGAGTCCCGTGGGGTGGTTTTGGGGTCCTCCTCGGTTGCTAAAAACAGCGACGCATGCTCGGTTCTCCTCCAGGGGTTTTGACCCCTCGGGCCTGCAGGAGGGAGGTCAAACCCCTGTGGTCAGCTCTGGTCTGCAAGCCCAGCCCCACAATGATCCTACAAACTGGCAGAAGCCTCAGCCATGCTCTGCTGAGCCCCTTCCCTGGCTCTTTTCCTCCTCAGGGCTGTACAGCATCCACAAAAAACGCGTCTACGCAGCCCGGCTCCTCACGCGCCAGAACCTGCAGAGCCCCAAATCCAGGTAGGAAACGCYGCTGTCCCGGGAGCTGAACCCGCTCGTGGGACACCAAAACAGTGCTATGAGCTGGGATCCACCTTTGTGCAAACCATGAGTTGGGATTCCAATCAGCACCACGGTGGAGGGTGTTCCTGAGCTCTGTGACCCCGTGAAATCCCTGCTGGTGCCTCCCTCAGCCTGTGGGGTGGGGAGCTGGCTGGAGAGGCAGCAAAGGAAGGAGCAAATTTCTGAGCAAGAGGTTAAATTGGGATTTTTTTTCCCCTTTTAGAAAGCCTCTGAGGGTGAATCAGTGGGTGCTGCAGTGTCCCTTCTCCCTGCTGTGACCTTGGTGACACCAGCAGCTCCCAAGGCCAGAACTCAGCTGTTCCCCAAAGGATTCTGCCAAAATTCCCTTTTCCCCTTTTTTTCCTCCTGTCCCTGCAGCCGCCTGACCATTTTCCTGCGCCTGCACACGGACGGGCACCAGGGGCTGCAGTACCAGCCCGGGGACCACCTGGGRGTGTTCCCAGGGAACCACGAGGACCTGGTCAGTGCCCTCATTGACCGGCTGGAGGAYGCCCCTCCGGCCAACCAGCTGGTGAAGGTGGAGCTGCTGGAGGAGAGGAGCACGGCTCTAGGTAACCACAGGCACAGGGGGCCCCTCTCCTCCTGTCCCAGCTCCTCAACTTCTTGGAGATCCTCTGAGAAATCCTCAGGAGATATCATTTTCCTTCTCTCTGCCTGGATTGGGAGCGCCTCCCTCACCTCTGCTCTGCCCAGAGCTGTGTGGAGAGAGGGTTGGAAGGGTGGACAGGGCCCTGGGGGGATATTCCATGGAAAAATTAAAGGTGYTTGTGTTCTCTCAGAGAGGACAATGTCTAGCACTGGGAAGAATTAAAGGATCTTGCAGGGCCATCCCAACACCGTATTTCAAGGATAAATCTGATATCCTGATGGGCAATATGGTCAACCATCATCTGCTGTCTCAGACTGGGATGAAAACCAGGATTTGCCCGCCCTGGCTGTGCTGCTCAACTGATGCCAGGCTTGTGCTGGGTTCTCTCCTGGCAGGTGTCATCAGCAACTGGACAGACGAGAGCCGTGTCCCACCCTGCACCATCTTCCAGGCCTTCAAGTACTACCTGGACATCACCACGCCCCCCACGCCGCTGCTGCTGCAGCAGTTCGCCCTGCTGGCCACCAGCGACAAGGAGAAGAAACGCCTGCAGGTCCTCAGCAAGGTGAGGAGCCCAAATCCCGGGTTCTGCAAGGCCCTGGGGGCAATCACAGCCCAGCCAGGGCATTTCATCCCACTCTGTGCTTGTTCTTCACTGCCACCCATCCAGCTTTGCCACAGATCTGGTGGGATGTCACAAGAAACCCCTGGAAAGGTGGATCCTACAGCTCTCTCACCCCTCCCTCTTCTCCAGGGCCTGCAGGAGTACGAGGAGTGGAAGTGGTCCAAGAACCCCACGATCGTGGAGGTGCTGGAGGAGTTCCCCTCRGTGCAGATGCCCTCCACGCTGCTGCTCACACAGCTGCCCCTCCTCCAGCCCCGCTACTACTCCATCAGCTCCTCGCCAGAGATGTACCCGGGAGAGGTGCACCTCACCGTGGCCGTGGTGTCCTACCGCACCCGAGGTACCGTGCTCGGGGACGGGCTCTGGGGAGAAGGGGCAGTGCAGGGGCAACCCCACAAAATCTCCGGCAGGGAGATGTTTTTTAAAGCCTTTCTGTGCCTGCTACGAGGGTAGATTCCCCCAAATCACGGCACTGCTGTCCCAGGTTATGGAAAATGATCATCCATCAAAGCATGGTGTGTTCCAGAGGTGCCACTTCTGGATCCATTCTGTTTGCCCATCCCAAAATCCACATTCCCAGCAGCCAAATTTCCATAGCTGTGTCCGAGCAGCCTTCATCATGGTGTAGGTGGATGCAGCCCCAGCGCTCCTGCAGGACACAGGGAGGACACTTCTGGATCCATGTAGGATTATGTTTGCCCATCCCAAAATCCACATTCCCAGCAGCCAAATTTCCATAGCTGTGTCCAAGCAGCCTTCGTCATGGTGTAGGTGGACACAGCCCCGGTGCTCCTGCAGGACACAGGGAGGACAGTGGAGCTGCCAGGGAGGGTTTGTGTTCCCTTGTTGCTCCTGCCAAAAAGGGCCGAAGGAGAGCTGGGTGCTCCCTAAGGATTGTGGGGTGCAGCTTTGCCAGGTCTGGGTCCTGGGTGGGTCCAGAGAGGGATCTGAGYGCCAGACTCTTACCAAGTTCATGGAGAATGGATGCTGAGGTATGAAATATTTCAGTCAGGTGCTCACGTGAGATGTAGCTGGGATGATTTTAGGGATTCCAACACTCATTGGGTGATGAGCCGTGTACAGTCCTGCTTCCCTCCCTCCCCAGACGGAGAGGGACCGATCCACCATGGAGTGTGCTCCTCGTGGCTCAATCGCATCCAGCCGGATGAAGTGGTGCCCTGCTTTGTGCGAGGGTGAGTGGCCCCCACGGGACCAGGGCTAAGGGAGAGGGGCTGAACCCGCTTGCAGGATGAGCTCTCTGCCCTCAATCRTTGTCACAGTGGGAGAAAACAGGGCTGGGTTTGTGAGCAAACAGCTCCCCTTTGGGTTAAAATCTGCACAAGAATGTCACATCCTTGGATTTCATCTTGTTTCATTCCCACCCTCTCCGGGGGGTTCTCAGCTGGCAGTGGGCAGTTGAGGGCACATCCTGATGGGTATAATGGGCACATCCTGATGGGTTTAATGGGCACATCCTGATGGGTTTAATGGGCTTTTTGCTGTGCAGGGCACCCGGGTTCCACCTGCCCCAGGACCCGCAGGTTCCCTGCATCCTCATCGGGCCCGGCACCGGCATCGCCCCTTTCCGGAGCTTCTGGCAGCAGCGGCTCTTCGACATCCAGCACAAAGGTGGGGCCACCGTGCTCCTCCCCTCTCAAGGCTTTTGGGAATGCTGGGATGGGATCCCATCCTGCCAGGGATGTCCTGGCAGATCTGGCAGGAGTGGGCTTGTGGAAATTGGGCTGACCGA